CTCTGAACTGAGCTCTAAGTTCAATAATAAGAATAATAATTATCATTAACTTAAAAAAAAATTGGTAAGTTGGTTTTTGCCAGTTATCCCGAAACCGAGTAACTCAGGAAGTACGTATTCATGATTTTTGTAATTGATGAAAGCTGAAAAGCACAAGATTTAATTATAATTGAATTTATTTGTTTATTTAAAAAAAAAACATTACGATAAATAAGTACGTGTGTGGCAAGAAAGGAACAGAGATAGAAACATCTGACAAGAAAGAAATCTACTAATGAGACGCAGGCACCGCGATAAGTTGGAAAACTCTCGGGGAGCACGCACCGGCGAGGTCGTCCAAAAGCAATTAACCCGCGACTTCAAATGAATTTTTCGAATGTCAGGCAACACTCGTGATTTGTAATTCGTTCGGCCGCAAATAGCTCTCCGGTTTTTATTTTGGACTTCATATGCATGGGACGTGGCCTGAGCACATTCTTCTCAGGGGCGATGGCTGCTCCCCGAGTCAACAAAGCATCCATCGCGGCAAGGTCAAGCGTCGTATGTCGCGCGTCTCTTCGACTAATATTTACTCTGGCGCTGTCAAAATAGCCAAACGGCTATTCCGCAGCTCCAATTACCTCTCAACCCTATCAATATGCTCGCCAACCCTCTTTTATAATACAAGAGAGATTCGCTTTTTTAGTAGCAGCCGTCGCACCAGCTGCTTTGGAAATAATTTGAAACAATGATACGCGAGCAGTTAAGGCCATTCGGCTCTTTTATGTGAGGTCCGCGTTGGAACGTAATCGAGAATTTGGCACCAGATGCGAGCACAAATATTGATTAAACATTGTAATAATATACACAAATTTAAATTATTGCGTTGAGGCTTTGTCAGCAAAATGTTATTAAAATTTATGTTACCACGAATATTCTAATTGAATTACATCAAAATTATTTACTACAACCTCCTGATTTCGATCATTCATTTTATATTAATTTTTGGCTGCAGCATTATCCAATCGATTATTTAAAACGCTCATTTATTTAACTCTCTATGTAAATAAAATCTAGTGATGATATTATTTTAAAATACAAAATTAAATTTAATGAAACAATTAAAACGTTTAAAAAATTTAATCTGGAAATATAGTTAAAAGCGATTACTTATTATATTATTAAAAAAATATTTTATATTATAAATTATATTTTATTGATTTTAACTTTCGCAATGGTTTTTCAGATATTTCCCTTTTTACTTCCGCATTCCACAGAGCACATCAGATTGTTTGTTTTGAACAAAATCTCGGCATTGGTTCGCGTAAAGTGCATTGAAGAGATGAGCGGCACATGGCGCAAGATCTCCATTGCTCCACACAATTTTATATTTAGCCTTTTCTCAGCTCGCTCCTCTGTTTGCCTTTTCATCCCGGAGAAGCTTTTGTTTGAAATTCTCCACTTTTGTCCTCTGCCCTTTCCGGCCTTGATTTATCGCCGCCGCCGTTTCGAAATGAGAATTTCCACCGCTATCTGCCCACAGACCTTTTTAATATGCAATCCAGGTGGTTTCTCTTCGAATCAAATAACACGAGAGAGCGGAAAAGATTACAGCGAAAAACACACCCACACCTTGGCGAAGAGATTCTCCCGAAATGCAATTTGCATCATTATTGCTCGGAAAGCAGGCCGTTAAGTCGTCGCGGACGGCGAATGCATTTGCATGAAATTTGCATGCGAACGCCCATATTATTTCCCGCCCTTTGTTAATCCAGTGGCGGAAGCAAATAGACACCCGCACATATTCCTCATTTGGCTTCGTTTTGCGAGAGAACGTTCTCGTTACGATAGCCAAAAACGCTACGCTGTTGCCTAGGTAACCGCCGTGAATGGGTAGCCATACCTTAAGTTTAGCATACACATTATTTCGGGGAAATCCGGCACAAGCTGGGCGCGAAAAATATGTGTCAGTGGTCGCGTAATTTTTCACCGCGCTTCAGACCGGCCGGCTGGCGAAATGAAAATGTTTAGAACAAGGGCTTGTGTACCTTTCCAGTTTGTAATGACGCAATCAAACATCGGCGAAGTGTGGTGAAAAAAAGGGAGTGGAATTGACTGAATTTTCCAAAAATAGAATGGAGGTCGGATATTTGTCATGTTTGCTGACGTTAATTGATGGTGAGTGATTTAGTGATCTGGCTTTTCAACTAAACCATTCCGTAGACAGTTTATTTTAAAATCGATGAAAACATTTTCAACAAATTTGACACGAGGGATACGCTCAAGGGCAGCCTGATCAGTTCGATGATAAATTTTTTACTTGGGAAAATAAGTATTGATTGAGTCACCATGGTCTTTTAAACCTCTCAACTTGCTGCAATAGTTTAAAAAAAATTTATTGCTTCCATTGATTTGATAAAAAAATATTACCCATTTTTTTTTCTTAAACCGCAGAAATAGAGTCCTGAAATTTACTGTTAATCTGTTTAAAAATGGGGTTCATTCTTTGCAAAATACATGATTTTACAATTAAAAAAATTAAACATAAAATTAATATTAATGTATTTTTATTGTGGTATTTAATATTTTATTCGTAACTACGTGGATTATTCATGGAGGTGGGGATATTTTTTTATAAATCTATTTTGTATTGCGTACATTATTTGAATATAATTTATTTAAAAAAAGGTTAAATTAGAAAAAACAGATCCACCACTAGCAAGAATTTTGCTAAAATTTCCGAGATCAGAAAGACTCCATCCTTTGCACTGCGCATTGAACCAAGACAAAGTCTTGTTGATTAGCGCCCTTTCTTACTTAGTGGTGCAGAAGGTACCACTCAATTTCTATTTTTAAAATTTATTTTAGGTTCAACTTTATTTAAAAATCACTAATTTATTTGCGGTCGTCGCGATGATGACATTAACAAAGTTGAAAAAAAATATTAAGGAAGGATGGTTGGGGTTGGTGAGGTTCAGATTTGGATATTTTTTTTTAGTTAAAGGGAGATATTAACTGTTTCTTAACAAAGCAGAATCCTACACACAAAATTAATCATAAATAAATACATTTTAGTGAAGATTAAATTTCTTATTTTTAGTACGACTTTTTCTATAACATTGTGCAAATTTAAATTTTGCCTGGTTAAAATCCAATTGAGTTATGAACGAATTAAACTCTCCAAGCGCTGTTTGATCATGCAATGCATAAAGAGTTGTCGTTTATGTAGGTCACTTGAGCCAAGGAGCAAAGAAGCAGTTTAGTAGTACCTGCAGCACGCGGCGGGACGAAAGGGCTGTTGGCATTCCCCGCGCAAAGAGAGCGGAAGAGATAATTGACTCCTTATATTCATGAATGGCCCGCACGGATTTGGTGCGGCGGCGGCGGGTCGATGGCGAAAAGGGGTAGGTGCATGTCGAAAAGTGCCTCTCGTGTGTAACAAAAGCTCAAGGCCGAAATCGCCAATAACGAATATCTCGCACGATGGATCAGAGATGACACGTCCGCCGCCTTCCGAACTCATGTGACGTGCGCTCCGTTTTTTCGTGGCCCCGACAGACGAGCAGAATTTCGCGCTTTTTCACCCTCGCCCCACAGCACCATGAAGACTTGCTTTTTTGGGGTGTTAACTGCGAAAAGAAAAGGAGAAAAAGTTGCTCCAAATGCCGGGGAGAAAATGTGTATTCCTCGCAGAAAACTCCTTCCTGCAAGAGGGTGCAGCGCGCCGGAATTTTATTAGTGCGAAGATGTAAAAAAAGGGCGCGCAGGGCCCGAGATAAATTTTACACTCGGCCAGACTTTCTCGCTCTGTGCGAGTTGCCGAGGCCTCTTCTGCATTAATTAATTAGCAAGAGATTAGACTCGCGCCGAGGTTAAGAGTCGCGCGTTTTTCATTTTCCTGTTTGCATTTTCATTCTTTTTATTCTTTTAAATAAATCTTACTCTCTCCGCGTCTGGCGAAATAACGCCTGAGTAATTCTTGAATCGTTTGGCGAATTGCAGGCTGCCAGAAAATAATTTTTTTTCTTTCTTAATTTGAAGCGTTCTCTTTGCATTCCAATAAATTTATAATTGTATTTTTTAATATTGTTTTGTGTTGTTCTTCATTCATAAATAATCAATTTAGAGAGCAAATGAAAAGAGGTTTCAGTCGAATATATCTGAAGATAAAATTGCATAATCATCATCAATGCTTCCTGTACATTATAAAAAATAGTAAAAAATTGATAATGCAACATTTTACAGGGAATCCGATAATTTATCATACGTGTAATCAATTCATTTTAAAATGTTAATAAATATAATTATATTTATATTTTAGTTTATTTTGTTTCATCATAAATCTTTTTAAATACTTGATGAAAAATAAATTTTAATATAAGTTGCATTGAAATATAAATGATTTTGTTAGTTTCAACTTAATTTATGTTCAAAGAGGGTTTTAAAAAAAAATTGTTTACAATAATTATTAGTGCTTATTATATGCGTTTTTTTTCTCTCCTTTGTATTTTGCTTGGAAGTAGATTGAACAGAATTTTGTTTAAATTGCGATAAGTAAAAGGACAAGCGTTTTGTGAGGTGTATTCGTTTTCCAGTCTTTGCCAATAATCTCACAATTAATATAACCCAAATTTTTGATCTTTTGAAAGAGAATAAAGAATAATTTAATAAAGGATTTCCATTTTTTTTCCAACCAAAGCTTTCAAAAAATTTCAGTAATTGTCTGTAATAGACCATTCAGATTATTATTTTTCCTTAATAGTTAGCCTTGAGCGCCTCATTTATGTCCATAAACTTACTTTCAGCTACGAAATTGAAGAAGAACAAAATTGAAAAATCCATGTGAAATATAAAATGCATATAAAATATATAGAAACATATATGATCAGACGGAAAGGGGCTCTTCAAAATAAAACAAACACGCGCGTGTCTCTCTCCCCAGAGATCGGACTGCGATTAATAATCTCGGGTCTCGAGACACGGCACAAACCGCTTTCGGAAGAAAAATAATCGCTGACCAAATGTGTGGATTTGACAAACGTTTCTCGTCTCGGAGACTTTTGGCCTCCTCGGCAGGGGCCGTTGGTCTTGAGCAAGCTGCAGAGCTAGGGCAGCCTGCAGTCAGTGGGGCCGCAGGGTCAGAAGAGGACCGCATTTTGCGGACGAAGATGCGAAAGAGCAACGGCGGCGGCGCTGGCAGGTGCGCCACTCCGGCGGCACTGCGGAGCAGGGGCTGCAAGCAGCAGGGCGGCAGTGCTTTGGCATCTGCTCAGTGTGTCGGGCAGCGCCGAGTCGGCCGCGTCTCCAGCAGCAGCACCACCGCCAAACCAGCAGAACCGGAGCAACCTGCACCCTCCAGCAGTACGTCCATGTGCCAGTGCCGCTGAAATACCCACCGAGAGACTGACATTGACCGAATAACTGCCATTCTGTGTTCTCTAACCGTCTTAATTGCTTGTATTAAATTTTAAAAAAACGGACCCAACCACCAGATAAGCCATCCCTATGACTTCACTCAAATATTCTAGACAAAATTAACGTTCTATTTAGTGGCACGAGTTGAATGTTCGTTGTTTGCACCACATGTATGGGTGTCGCACAAATTGAATGCACGTGCATGCGTAAAACTTTTTCTTGTTGAAGGAATGCAGACCTAAATTCAAAACGTTCGAATTTGAATGAAAAGCAAAATATAATTTAGTTAGATCATATTGATATGTTTGGAATTTCATATAATATTAATTTCATCAACTATGAGAATTAGGATTTTTTTTAATTTAGATCAGAAAATATCATTAATTTAAATTATTGTAGACCTACAAAATTTGATTTTGTTCAATAGTCTTTTTAAAATATCAATTATTCAAAGTAATTTTTAGAGCTGTTGTAAAAATTTTAAATCTGCTCTCAATCTCAATAACTAAAAACAATTAATTTCTCTGCTTAAATGATATTACCCTAAAATTCAATTATTTAATTTTCTTGTTTTTCCTTAATAGTCACTAATTTTTTTTCATTTTTCCCTCTTCGATGTATTTAATAATTAATTTTGTTCTGCTCTTCATGCATTTGTTTAATAATCTATGCAAACAAAAAAGCTCTAAGTGGAAATGTCACGTTTGGGCAGTGAAATATTAGTTCTCTCTCGTTTTTGCGCTGCTCTTGCTCTCCACAGCGCCGCACATGTGCCCTCTAATGGTCTGATATTTAACGGTTGTTTATTTAAGCGAGTCGCTTTTCCGGAAATAAATTTCCATGGCATATACATTAGACAGCCACCCCGCGAGTCGTGAAGGGAAATCTAGTGTACGTACTGTACGTCAAGTGAGCCGTAAATAGCCGTGGCGGCAACTCTCTCTGCCATGCAATCTGCCGCACTCACAAAGAGAAAATGTATTCACATAGTGGATGATGTGGGATCCGTGTGTGTGTGTATGCATGTGGAGGTGGAGGAGCGAGCAAAGAGAACAAAATTGATCTGTTTGAACGTGACACACACAAGCTTAATGAATTATTCACCGAAGCTGAAAGAGACAGAAAATACATTGTAAAACTTTCACATGGATATGAATCATGCGAATGAAAACTTTACTAGTTCATAGTTTTAGATTAAATAATTTTTTTTTTAATTATGCCTCGTTTTAATTTTTTTTCATATCAGATAAGTTAATTTTTTTTTTATCAAAACCCGTATTAAAAAATAATTTCCTTTCCATTATTAATTGACATATTATGTGGGGTAGTTCCAGATGCTGCAGAGTAGTTAAATTTAATTTCAGTTGAATTTCAAAATTAATTAGTTAAAATTTTAAACTAGAATCTACAATTTGCTATTATGAATTAAAGCCTGATCCGTCTTTGATTGTTAGAAAATATCTAGTTTTGAATTTGGTCTGCATTCTCGTTTCCTTTCACCAGTGCACCAACTAACAACTAACCAACCTTTTCCTCTTTACTGCAAACGAGTTTCAACGGAAAACTAACAAAATGAAGAAAATGAAAGGTAATTGGCTTTTTTTCCTGCTTTCCCTCATTGTCTCGTCGAATTTGCACAGCCCGCAAAAAGTTGAAACCCCTTTTAGAGTAAATTCTCAGCAGTTTTCCCGTTACCAAATAATAGTGAAGCGCTTCCTCCTTTCGACGACAACCCTTCGACACCCCCTCTAACGAAAGCGATTTTTGCTCAAGAGAAGAGCAAATTGCACGCGCGCCTTTTAAAGAAAAAGGCCATGCGCCGCGCGCTTTTGTCTCTCTCACTCGCCGCCGCCGAGAGCGTTGTTCTTCCGCATTGTTTTCCACCAGAACGGGAAAATCGATACACACACTCTGACTCTCGGTGGAGAACGGCGAGCCAAACGTGTGTGCATGTCTCTCGTGCGATGATAAAACCGCAAAATTCGCACTCGGCAGCACACACGGCCCGAAATAACGCCATAGAGGAGTTGTATAAACGATATTCATGGCTTTGAGGCCGACGAGGCACCAAAAAACCAAAAAGGATTTCTGAAAGAGCACGTTGCACTGCCCATAAATTTGCAATTTTAATTAAATGGCAAAAATTCAAAGAACGAGATCCAAGTTACAAATAATAATAAATTAATTAAAAATTGAATTAGATTAGCTAGTTTGTTTTTAAAAAACATTTTTAAAATAAAATCCTCCAATAATAAATACTAAAAATATTTTATAATTTTCAATATTTTAGAAAGATTTTTTTTATTTAAATTTAATTATTATAAAAAAATATTATGTATTTTTTTTTTAAATACCAATCCAAGATCGTTTAATTTCAAAATTATAATGTTGATAACAAGCTTTAAAACTCGTAATGCTTATTTAATAATGAAAATGCGAATGATTTCAGGTTATCAGATGTTAAAAAAAAATTTGTTCTTCTCTATTTTATTTTCTAAAGCGGCCAGTTACACAATGACATTTTTTTAATTGATATAATATAGTATTAATTGGTTTTCAATTTATTTGCAACAAGACATCACTTGGTAAATTGGGTTCTTGTAAATTACAATTTTTTCTTATATGAGCTTATTTTCTGAAGAAAAATTTCAATATACCCGATAAAAATTGAAAAGAAAATTAGCCAAATTACTTCCCTATGACCCTTTACAATGTAATTTATTACTATTTGAACTTCAAATTTGCATTAATCTTATTAGGAGAGAAATTGCATTCAAGTTTATTCCAATAAAGACATCAGAAGCGCCTCATTTAAGAAAAATTCGGTTTAGATCAAATATAAAAATAATTATATCACTTTATGAATGCTGTTTTTTTAAGCCAAAAATTGGTTCAAGTGCCTTGTTAAGATTGAAGTGAATTTTCGGTTTGTTAATCTTATCGTAACTTTCTCTTGCTAATCTAGATTAGATCTCCGCTTCAAAATCACGTAGCGTAAAATGCATTCAGAAGTTCATTAAAAGCGCCGTTTAAATTATTCATAACCGGCAGCAGACTGCCTCTTCGAAAATGCGCAAACTTTCTCCTCTATCCGCTGCAAACTACCCGCAGCCAAAAAACAGCATTAGTTATTCGCCGATTAAGCCCCGCAGAAAAGCAATTTGCGATACACAAATGAGGAAAGTTCTGCGAACAATTAACTCACACAAATATGCGGCGATGGAGCAATCAGGAGAGCGAAACAACAACTTCATTCATTCATCATGAGACGAGGCTGAAAAAGAACGAGAGCCGAGATAAAAATAATTGAATGGGCTGCTTCGAGTTTGTGACTGAGGCGAAAAAGTTAAGGGACCTCTTTTGTTTTTGGTGTTGACGTGCCGGACATCAAAGAGAAAGAACGCCCGAGTCGGTCGCGGGGCCAAGTGCGTGTGTGTTTAACAAATAGGGCGCACACCCGGCTTTGTTTTTATACGCGAATCATTAATCGCCGCTGATCGCCCCAGAGAACCAACAAAGCAACCAAAGAGAGCTTGGATTTTATTGATTGTAAAATAACTTCTTACTCATTCTTACTATGAAGGGGGGGGGGGGGGGAAGCGCATAAAAAACATAAAATTTACTATTTTTTAAACCGGACCAATTTTTAAAAATTAAAAAGAATTAAAATCTGTTTAATTTATAAAGGATTTATCTTTTTTTGCCTTTTTAATGTGATCTGTGAGCTCATTTAAAACATAAATATCAAAGAAACTTTAAAATTATTAAAATTGCATATATTATTTTTATTTTTAATCAAATTTATCAGGAAATTTGGGTTATTGCATTATTGGTTGTTTTACTACAGGCTTTGTAATTTTGGAAATGTAGTGAATTCTGACGATTTTCAAACGCCTCATTTGATCTGCCATAAAGATTAAGTACGGCGAATTCTCAATAAGCACCCCATCCCGAGCTGGCCCACTTTCTCATTCGCTCGGCACTTCTCTTTCTCGGGCCGCGGCTCAACCCCTTCTGCCTCCGAAATCGCGTCGGCGTCGTAAAAGACGCGTTTTATTGTTATTCGACAAATATTCGGGAGCAAAACACTCGGCCGAAATCCCACCGCATAATCCTGCAGTGGAAATTTATAATTCCGGCTGCATGCATTTGGTCTTTATTGTTCCGAAGGGGTCCTTTGATGCGATTAAACGCCGCTGCCGTACTCGCGATAACATTAGTTTCGCATTCAATTAGCCCTTGTGTCAAGAAATAACGGAGAAAAAAATCGAAGTCTGCTGCTGCTGCTGGCTGGCAAGCCCTTTTTTCAATTATCGCGAAAGCTCATTTCTCAGAGTGGAATTTTTTATTGGGCAAGCGCGCGCAGTTGTTGACGGGTCTTATTTTTGCGCGCGGCCGCCGTAATTGAATTTTCGATGACCAGCACCGTGAACTGCCAGCAACAAGAGACCACTCTCGGACAAATAGAAAAATAAAATAAATCAAAGGCGAAAAACCTGCTGGGTCGATTTTTACGACGGTGTACATTACAGTCTGCCAGAGAACGTCAATTGACATGCATGAAATTCACGAATGGCAAATCAATCACCCTCTAGACAGATAACTAATAAAAAAAGAAAATTGAATCCTCACTATTAGTTACTTCACTACATTAAATTTTTTTCTTACTATAATGCGAATAGCTTTCTTCAAGTAAATAAGCAGAATTAGGTTAAAACAAAATAACTTTTGGACTGGAAGATACAAAATTAAATTTCAGATGAAAATTTTTCGAACACCATAATTTATCTATGCTACTTTTTTTTAGATTTATTTTCATGTGGTTAAAAATTATCTCGCCATTAACTTTGCCTTTTATATGAGGACAAAAAAAGTATGCACTTTATTTTATGCTTAACTTTTTTATATTTTCCGCATTTTTATGTTTTTATCACGCGTCCCTTTTG